CCTTTCTGTAATATGGTTGACATAAAAATTGGAGATATATAAATGATAAAAAACAAAGAAAAGCAGAGATCATGATTTGATGTGCTTGAGCAAGGGGCTGAATCTAAAACTGTTAGTCTCATTATAGATACAAGTAAAAAAAAAATGTACAATTTGGCCACAAAGCCAGTTGCTTGATAAAATGATTCAGAGCACATGATTCTGAGCACCAACCACAAGTCAAGCTCTGTGCTATGCACTGAAAATGAAACTATTTTAAAAATCTTTCAGAAGTTTTAGTGTATTATAAGTTCAATGTGAATTAACTTGATAATAACGTTATTAAAAATCTACAACCCCTTGATTATAAATCTGAAGCCAAAATGTTTTGCAAAATTAATTATTAAATGCGTTTTTTGGCATAATCTGACACGATGTAAAAGAACATTTTGGCAAATCTGACCCGAATTTATGAGAGGATAATTAGTCTTTCCTTATCCTCTTAATTTAAACAGATAATAGTTTCCAGGATGCAACCTGCTAGGGGTACCATATATAATATGCAGAATATACATTTTATCTCCTTTTTAAATATAAAAGACTGAATTCTGAAATGTATCTTGAGACAAGGTTTCTGGATACGTAGTTGTAAACCTTCATAATCATAGACTTCTTAAATAGAAGCTAAGCTTGTGATCTAGAGGAGGAGATTTTCAGAATGAGACTGATTTGACAACACCTGGATTAAGAAGTACAATTACAAACAGAATAGTAGGAGATGAGTCAGAACTAGGAGTCATTCTGTGACAAACAATTAACATATTAGCAGATGATCAGCCATCAAGAAAGAAGTCTCAGAAATATTAATGTAGATCTCTTTATAACGTTTAGACGGAATACGTGAATGAAATGGTTTAGACCTGATCTATTTGATTCCAGAGATCAGAACTAGGAAAAGAGGGTAGATATCTCAGTGAAGTAGATTTATATTTAAATACATATTTATTTATATGATATATATATATATATAATATACAGTCAAAATGGAATAGATTACTTCATTTGGAAACAAATAGATGCCTAGTCAAATTGTTAGGTGGTGGTTCAAGGATTTGGTAAAGAGTTGGATTGGAGGGCCTCTTCAGATTGTCATTCTTAAAAATACTATGGTGTGTGAGAATATAATTCATGAACGGTTTTAAAAAAGAGGAATGTAATATTATTCCCCAAATGTCAACATTTAAGAGGAAAAACTGGCTGATCTCCCCATTGTATGACCCATAGAACACTTGAGCATGACTTAGATAGGCCATGCTCCATCTGACGTTAGAGATACTTCTTCTCTGAGAGATTCTCCATCCAGAGAATGGAGGACCTGGGGACCAACTTCAGTGGTCTGGGTCTTTCTAAGACGGAAGAGGAAAAGAGGATCATTTGGTATTCCCAGATAGCCTATGTGGAAATGAGCTAGAATGACTCCCCTGGGAATAATTTCTTTAACAAGTACAACTCTCATTAGGACTCTGAACACACACTGAAGATACAGCAACACACCTATCCGCAGATCATGCTCAGGAACCACAAAGAGAAAGCTCCAGCTCAGGTAAGAAAGCCCAGGGGTTTAAATGCAGCAAGGATGCCTGACAGTAACTCTTCTACATGGCTTATGCAGTTCTTCTGTAAAGGATAAGAAAGAATTAAAGTCTTGTCTTTTTAATTTTTTTAATGAAATGAAAAATTCAGGAAAGGGGACAGCATATGGAAAGGCAAGCTTGGAAGGACAACTACATTTATATTCAAAAGATGGTTGAGAACATGAGTTTGGGGGCAGATAAAACTGTCTGAATTCCTGTACGCCATGTATGTGGACCTTGGACAAATTATTTGACTTTGTGAAGGCTCAGTTTTCTCATCTGAAGAATGTAAATGCTATGTTGTTTTCACTTTCTTGTTATTTATACACTTTCCATTTCAAAATCATTAGACATCTATTCCTACTGTTCTATTGAAACTGTCAAGATCACCAAAGGCCTATTTACCAAAAAAAATGGATATTTTCCATTTTTCTTACTTGGCAATTCTATGACATTTTTCACTGTTAAACTACAGCAGTAGCTACTTCTATATTTTTTTTTCCCAGTGACCTTTGTAATTACAGATCACCTTTACTAACCTCATATTTCTGCCTGCTTCTTTGTCTATCTCCTTTCAGATCTCTTTTCTTTCTGACATAAAATAGAGGTTTTCCTAGCTTCACAGCTTTTCTCCCCATATCTAATTTCCCATCTTAATTTATAACTAAGGTATGATTTAAATGATCACTTAAAAGTTGAGATCTTTAATATTGTTGTCTTCAGTCCATGGCTTCCTATTATTCCTTATTAGTTGATATACACACACACACATCTCTATACATATACACACATCTATATATACATATGCATGCATGTAATTAACTAAAGGAACAGAGTCATGTTCTAAAGCAACAGAAATTCTCAGACAATAGTTAAGAGTGAATGAAATGGAGTCAGGAGACACTGATTTTATAGGGTGCATGCAGGTTATACAGAAGTAAAGAGAAGATTTTCCCATTTTCTCAATATGATCCTAATGTGCTCTCTTCTTTTTCCATTCTCTTTCAACTCTTATGTCTTCCTAACTGATTTCTAGAACAGTTCCCAAGCCTCTAGTCAGCACAGCAAGTTGAAGAAACTCTGAATGATATCTCTGTGTGACTCTACAAAACTACTGCGGATTCAGGGCTAGGTATTTTTAGAGAATCAGTTCAAACAAGACCCTCTCAGTGGGGTGAAGGGATAGTAAATTCCAGTCATCTCTGAATCCCTGATGGAGCCTCTGGGCTAGCCTGATGGAGATGAGAAATTCCACTGAAGTTACCACCGGCACTAATGTCACACACCACATATTAACAGATTCCCTAAATTGGGCAGTTATTTCACCTGGCATATTTGGGAAATGTGGATAGTTCCTGGCAGTGTCAAATTTATCATAATTAAATGCTAGGGTGGCTGATATTAGGTACTGCAGATAATGAATATGGTATTCTTTTAACTTATGTCAATCAAAAAATATTAACGAATTGTAATAGCTGTTCCCAAAGGGATTACTACACAGTTTGGGTACCTAAACCCTGCTCATGTCAAATTCCAAAACCCAAGCAAAATCCAATACTCATAGTTCAGATTTTCGCAGCACCATGTAGTCTAAGCAAGTTTGGATTTCCTCTTATTTTCTCCCTCCAGTCCACTTTCTCAGTAACAGCTGGACCAAATAGATCATTTGTCCCTATCCTATACAATAGATTGTGTCCTTTATCCATTCTCCATCTCTTCATTCCACAATTTTATTAGAAAGGCAATGTTGGAAGGTTAAGGGGATGGGGCAGGTGGGAGTTATAATTTATGATGATATACCCATCACTCCTGTGTAGAGGTGGAGGTAGGTAAGTGTTGTCAAGATGAATCAAGTTGGTTGGCAATCTTATCAGGAGCTACATCAACAAAGTATCTGTCACTTCAGAGCCAAGACTGACCTTTTTGTCATTGACAGTATTTCCTTGAAGTGGTGATCATTTCCACAGCACATTAACCTTTCCTCTATCTGTCTCCCACAAATCTCCACTGCTCATTATTAGAGATGGTTACCATGTGCAAATTCTCAAGGTAAAAATCTATTCTTGTTTTTATGAAATGGAAGTGGTGCAAAGATTATCATCACCTCATTCTTCCTGAATTCCTCTTTGGAGATATCAGTAATGATATTTATGAGAGGAAACAATATTTAAAAAGACCCTGGGCATGTATAGATTTAATTGAATTTGGGAAAACTAATATTTCTCTTTAATTGTTATGGTCATCAACTTGCAACAAAATTTCTTGGTTATATGCAAACAAAACTAATTTGATTTTATAAAAGTATAATTATTAAACAGGTTATATTTCAAAGTTCCCCTTAGAAGTCATATTTAATTTTATGGATATGGGCTTTCCAGATACATAAATATTAGGAGATCTATATGATTGTTTCCACCAGCAACAGAGTCACCATCTTTTTCCCTCAGAGAATCTTTATCTCCTCCCTAGAAGAGGCTGGGTATAATTTATGCATTCAATCATTAATTTCTTACATTTCTTTTGTCATTCAAATACTCATGTCTTATTTTTGTTTGTTTTTAATCTGTGACTAATATAAGTACTAGGCTTCTGGCTTATGAGGAGACCTTTATTCTAGGAGTCTGTCTTCCTTAAAATGTTTCCTTTAGGAGCTCTCAACTCCTCTCTCTCTTCCTGTTTTGAAATTTGTCTCTGGTGTTACAAGTCTCAGATCTTTTGTAGCACTGACAATTTCCTGAGTTCCAAGTCCACTGAGTAGTCACATTTTCTAAGATGAGTTTACCAACTCTGCCCACTTGTTCTGACTTCTCTAGACTCTCAATGAGTCATCTCCTTGTTCATAGTTTATTTGAGATGGCAATATTGATGACAATATTTCTCAAACTTTTCATGGTGACGGACTCACTTCTATTGATTAATCATTTTCCTCAGTGATTAATCAGTGAGGCAATATCTGATTGGCTTCAAGAGAGAAAATCTGAACTGGCACCAGATGGAAACTAAAAGGGCCCATGTGAAACATAATATGAGGAGCAGCAAAAGAGCAAAAAGAGTGAAATAGAGGCAAAGGAATGATTTTGCGGACTAGAAGCAAGATGTGTGATTGAAACACAAGATGTATGATAGAAAGAATAAAAGTTAGATGCTAAAGAGCAAATTGTTGAGATCACTAACATGATTATTATTAATTTTTATTTGTTATTCTAGGCAAAGTCTTTGGCAGTATAAACTTATAATTCAGACTGATACAATTCACAAAAGCTTGTAAGTTTTGAGGTGAAAAATGGCTTGATGATGCGCTACAAGAGGATGGAGAGAAAGAAAGAATACTGCATATTTAGAGGTCATAGCCCCTGAAAAAGCTCTTCTCCACCTGAAAAGCCTACTATGTGGTCCAACAAAAGTGTTGCTCCCTTCTTGCTGACTGGTTTCCTAGGCTCAGAGACAATTCACCACTGGATCTCTATTCCTTTCTTTCTCATCTACCTTTCCATCCTTTTTGGCAATGGCACACTTCTCTTCCTTATTCAGAATGACCACAGTCTTCATGAGCCCATGTACTACTTCCTAGCTATGCTAGCAGGTACAGACCTTGGGATGACGCTAACTACAATGCCCACAGGCCTGGGTGTCCTAATGCTGGACCAGAGGAAAATTGCCCAGGCTGCCTGTTTCACTCAATCCTACTTCATTCACACACTGGCCATTGTGGAATCGGGCGTCTTGCTTGCCATGGCCTATGACCGTTTCATTGCCATCTGCACCCCTCTAAGGTACAACTCCATTCTTACTAATTCCCGGATAATGAAGGTAGGACTAGGGGTACTTCTGAGGGGCTTTTTGTCTATTGTGCCCCCAATTCTTCCCCTTTATTGGTTCCCATATTGCCATTCCCATGTTCTTTCCCACGCCTTTTGCCTCCACCAAGATGTCATGAAACTTGCCTGTGCTGATATTACATTTAATCGTGTGTACCCTGTTATTCTGGTGGCTTTGACTTTCTTCCTAGATGCTCTGATTATCCTCTTCTCTTATATCCTAATCCTTAAAACAGTTATGGGCATTGCCTCTAGAGAGGAGCGAACTAAGGCCCTCAACACTTGTGTCTCCCACATTAGCTGTGTCCTAGTCTTTTACATCACTGTGATTGGCTTGACTTTCATCCACAGGTACCACATGTGGTCCATATAACCATGAGCTATGTCTACTTTCTCTTTCCTCCATTCATGAACCCCATTATCTACAGCATCAAGACCAAGCAGATTCGAAGAAGCATTGTTTACCTGTTTTCTGTGTGTAGCAGGGCTTGAGCCTTTATTTCCAAATCTTGAGAGCCCCAGGATTGCTGAGTCTTTCTCATTACTGGAAGAGAACCTTGTTTTTAAACTCAGTCTCTTTTTTCAGACTTAGATAAGATTTTAATTATTACATAAAGCTAGAAGTTGACTTGAGGAGATATATATATACATTCTAATATTACACCTGTGTTAGGATATATATATTACAATAGAATATATAGAGAATTTTGAACACATATTATAATTTATGTAATATGTCATTTTTTCTAATATATATTCTATTATATATTATATATATGTCACATATTCTAATATATATGCCCTATTCTAACCTCACATTTTTTCCTATTGATATTTGAAAAATCCTCCTATTTAGGACAATGTTGCCTCAATTGCATCTACCAAATATTTGACTACTCCTGGCAACTAGATGAATGGCCTTGGGGGATTGGAGCACGAGGCAAAAACACGAGGCAAAAAAAGTCTAATTATTATTTCTTTGCTGAATAAGATTTGCCTTGAGCTAACGTCTGTGCCAATCTTCCTCTGTTTTGTATGTGGGTTGCCACCACAACATGGTCGCTGACAAATAGTATATATACATGCCCAGGAATTGAATTTGGGCCACTGAAGTGGAACAATTCTTTTATATATATACTCTATTCCAATATATTCTAATATACATCTCTATGTATTCTATTCTAATAAAGAAGGAATGCCAGTGATCTTGGGGAAAAGGGATAGAGGAAACGAATAAGATGAGGCTTTTCAGGGGCTGGCCCCGTGGCCGAGTGGTTAAGTTCGCGCGCTCCGCTGCAGGCAGCCCAGTGTTTCGTCAGTTCGAATCCTGGGCGCGGACATGGCACTGCTCATCAGACCACGCTGAGGCAGCGTCCCACATGCCACAACTAGAAGAACCCACAACGAAGAATACACAACTATGTACCGGGGGGCTTTGGGGAGAAAAAGGAAAAAATAAAATCTTAAAAAAAAAAAAAAAGATGAGGCTTTTCAGGTCCTGTGTATAAAGGAAGAATATGTACTACTTTAGAATATGTCAAGATAAGTGGACTCAACAGCCTGATTCAAATGCAGTTCATCTGAAGAAAGACATGCAGTTGGAGGTACATTTTATGTATTATATGAAAGGCAATTAGTGAGATATATTTATCATCTTCCCATCTCTATGTTTTGAGTAGAACTGTATTGGAAATGATGTTGCTTTATAAGTAAACAAATCTTGGTGAGGAAAATAAGCAAAATGTGTAGAACTCAAGAAAGCTGACTCCTGAAAATTCAGTTTCCCTTAGTAAATCAAGGTAGTTTATTATTAAAGGGAAACTGATGCAGATTAAAAGCCCAATGGCAACCAATCAATTTCCTATCAGCCAGTTGAAGCCAGATCCCCTGGCAATTCTTTCCTTCTTCCCAATGGCTGCTGAACACCAACATGCTAATTTTTCCTCTTTCCAGCTTTCAATTTTACCTCTTGATGTTTTTCTTCTGCAAAGACTGACTATAGAGTTAGATATCATCTCCTGTTTCTGTCTCCCCTCTCTTGCTTCTCACATAAAAGAACTCAGGGTTTATTCTTTCCATGAAATTTTTCTGCCAATCAGGGCATAAAACCTAATATTCTGCTGTGATGGATTAGTTTCTTCCTTTAACTTTCTTCAGTATCTTGTAAGTCTTTATGGTGTTCATTTTGACTGAACCATAGGCTACTATCTGTTATTAATGTTATAAGTAATGGTAATTAACTTACTCATCTGCTGTTAGTTCTGTGTTACTGTATGGAGCTACTCTAGGTATGGACTTGTGACCTAAAAAGCTATATTCATTGCTCCTTGAAGACTGCTGTTTCTTCCTATTTCTAAGTTGGTTCTTCTAGTTGGACCTCCTTCCAACAACCTATTTTCTGATTGAAAGCTTATGTGCAGAGCCTAGGAAAGAATTAGTCCAGTCTAGATTTTCTCTGCCTCACTTAAGAAACTTTCCATACTGATATCATGTCCAGTCAGTGAGCACTCTAAGAATATTCCAACATGGATGTTGAGTAGCAATGAAAAGCCAGAGAATCTGCGATGTGAAAATGCCATTTATAAGATTTACTGTATTATTTAGAAATATATATAAGAAACAGAATTTTCAAGTTAGAGAAACTGATCTTTGTTCTTTTAAGTTAATTAAGAATATTGGAATAATATTGGGGTGACATTCAGAATTATTTGCAAAGTATCAGGAAATAAAGCATCTCCCGTGGAACAAGTAGTAGATGTCCATCAATTCTCTCTTGGCAGAAACAGGAATGGGATCTATTGCTACAGCTATGAATCCTAGTGCTAAGGACACCACTGTCACAACTTCCATTCTTTACATTTTATTCTTTACTTTTTATATCACTTTTTAACCAAGCTATAGAATTCAATTTACTTTTTTTATTGTTCTTGAATCAAGTTATAGAATCTAAATGTTGGAGCCTGGATAACACCGTGCCCTGGATTTGGGACTTGGGGTGAGCAAAAATTCATCCTTTTAGCCTCTGTAGCAGGAAAGAACTAATAAAAAACTAAATGTAAATAATGAAGTGTTCCTTTAAATTAAGAGGGATATTTGGATACTGGACAGCTCAAAACTAACAAATGTCTACCCTTGAAGGATTCAGTCATTGTGCAACCGGTTAGTGATGGTTATTGGGAAGTTGGGCCTGAGAGTTCCATTCGTTGTCATTTTGGTTGTCTTTCTCAATGTACTGCTTATTTTATGTTTCTAAAGTTGGCATATTGAGTGTACTTCATTTTGGGACATTATAATTAACTTTGCCCTTTGGTTTGAAATGCACATCATTCTAGAATATGAACTACATACAGGGAGCTTGCATCCCTACTGACAACTACACGGATGTCAATAAACATAAAAAAATAAAAGAGAAGAAAAAATTGGTTATCTTAAAATTTTAAGCAAGCAGTGCAACGTATTACTTTATTTCCCAAGAAATCTTTAGAAGGGGATTTCAGTGCTATTCACTGATTGTTACAGGAAGACAGACCACAACATTAAATGTATCGTGCAAGTTTAGAGGCAATGTGCTAAAAAAGAAATTCAGGCAAAAACTCAGGTATGATACAGAATTCAGAAAAAGAAATAGAGGTATCTAAATGTAAAAAAGAAGAAGTAATGGGATCAAGTTGAGAACCCAAATTTATTCACGCAGTGGCAAGGGATTCTAGAATATGCTATTACACTGTATTGATCTTTAGACAGCCTGTGTCAATTCTCAAAAATAGATGAAAAAAATAGAATCCATACTGAAAATTGCTAGTTTTTTAAAATAAATGCACATGTATAGATTTTAATTTGAAATAAAATTCGTAACATGAGCATTCTTTTTTATAATTCCTTGCTTTGAAAATCTTTTCAACTAGTAAACTAATATTTACCCACTGATCTAGTTATAAATAAGGATATTTACAGTGCAATTTAACAGTGTTTGCCCAAACATGTGCAGCTTCCAGACAAGTCGCTTAGTCTTCATTCTCACCATGAGCTCTACCATCCAGTTTGCCAAACCTAAGACCTTCCTATACAGAACACCCTGAGTCAGAACTTACACAAATGAAGGAATCATGCCTATGTTTTCCTCCTGAGGAATTATCAAGTGAGAACAGTTCATTATCATGAGTTCAGCCATGGCAGTAACTGGGTTTCCCCACCAGCTTATGATCTTGCCAAGGATGACTGCCTGCCATTCTATAAACCTCCAAAGCTGTTAATGCAGTTGTTGAAAAAAAAAATAAACAATTTTATTTGTGTGATGCAGCTAGGGCTGACATTTAATTCATGACAAACTTTAATTTCTCACAGTCATTGCAAACATCCTATCTCTGTGTTATTCCAAGAACTTTATGTCGATTAATTTGTTGCATTGTCATGCCTACTCAGCAGTTCTTGAGAAGGGACAAAAAACTTTATGCAACACACAGCTTTCAAGCATCCTGTTTACGCACAGAGAATTTGGCAATTATTTGACAATTCTGATTTACAAGTGAAAAGTGATAGTTTTAGACATTTAATAATTTAAACACGGCCATGAAGAAGTTGCAGTTTTTCTTTCTTTTCCTTTTATTTTTTCCCCAAATCTGAAAAATATACTTTTACCCCCACATATTCAAACATTTTGTTAAACCTCTCAAAAGCTCTTTTCTCTGAGTCTCTTCCCCTTCTCCTTCCTTCATGGATGGTTTGTGGGCATGGGCATCACTCTGCGTGCACGTGTGTATATGTAGGTGTTGGGGTGGGGTGTACCCAGAAACACTCTCTAGCTATGTGATCCTCTCCAGGCCTCATCTCTCCTTTTGGTTAGCATACTGTACAATTGACTTGTTCAGGATGCAGAACAGTTCCAAACTTCTTCATACTACCTTTTATATTTGTACATCCTACCCCAACCCCTGTCAATCAAAGGTCTGTTTTTTATCATTATAGTTCTGTCTTTTCACAAATGTCATACAATAAAAATCAAACACTTTGTAACGTTTTGTGATTAACTTCTTTCACATAACATAATGACTTTAAGATTCATCTAAGTTGTTGTGTTTATCTATTGTTCATTCCTCTTTAATGGTTGAGTTGTATTTCTCATACGGATGTTCCATTACATGGATGAGAGTTGTTTTCCTGCCATTTCCTAATAATTTTCAGTTGGTTCCTGTTAGCCTCCACTTATGTTCCACTTTGACGTCCCTATATTACATCTATCATTCTCCCTTTTTCTTTATTCTCTGTCCATCTTGTGAACACTCCCTCATGAGACATTCTCCTCAACCACTCTCTTTATCTGACTTTTTACTGATTCTCCTTGTTGCATTCGCCGGCGTTGACTCCTCTGATAGCCCACCCAAGTCTCTTGACATCATTATCAAATGTTGTCACTGTTAAACAGCTGGATCCAAAAGTATTGTGGACAGATGGGTCCGGGGAACAAAAACAGCAAGATGAATTGTCATAGGGGT